GCCATCTGCTTTGATTGGTCCTGTTTGAGGGGAAAAGTCACTCCAAAGTATTGTATTCACTGTGAACAGGTTCCTAAAAGCTACACAGTAAGCTTAGCTTGGTGTCTGGCTGATGCAAGAAATGTCCATTTGCAGGTACAATGTGGCACTCGCCAACGTATATTCCTTTCTACTGCAAATTGGCAGATCTTCCTAAATTGTGCTGCCGTCCTAGGTGGCATTAATGTTTATAATGCATGCAGCGTGGGGGTTAAAAGGGGGACACAGTAATGGATGTTTTTTCCCCACCAGTTTGGTAAAAGTGCAAAGACGTACTAACTGTGTAGTTACAATATTTGCAGAAATGTCAGTATTTCTAGACTTTGTCAGTGAAATCTAATTCTTTTGTTGAGTGTAATCACATTTATCCTGCCAGCTGTTTCTAGATACGGCCCTTTTTAGATGTTTTCATTGTTCTTAACAACAAATTTGTGCGCACACGCAGCAATATTTCATAACCTGACTTCATTGCGATAGCAGGCAGTGATGCAGTGGTGTGCTCAGCAGATGACTGTTTGCTTCTATCTGCTATGGTAGTTTCTCCTTCAGCTTCATAAACCAAAAAGTGTGAGATACAAATGCACAACCTCGTCAGCAAGAACGCTGCCTTTGGTTGGCAGTAGGAGGACTAATAGTGGAATATATGATCCTATATTCTCAGATGTGCTAAATGTGTGTTTAAGATATATTATTTTAGTTTTTCTAAACAAAGCTATCACTGCTTGTTTAGTTTTATAACATGAAATTAAAGATTGTAAATAGTTCATTGTGTCCTGCAATGAACAAATTTAGTGATGCATTTATACCAAAAACATTGGCTTCGTAAGTCGTATCAATTTTGGACGCTCTCAGTAAATCCCATCAGTCTGGGATGCTCACACATACTCCCTTGTTTTTCTGTCATAATTCAGAAAACTATGGCTTAAGACAATTTTATTTCTCAAGTACCTATAATTATTGGACAATAATCTATGTAATATTTATAATAATAATTTTTTATAATGTTGAGAGCCCAAGTCTATTTTCATGCATATCCGTAGAAACCTTTTTATTTAATTCAGTATGGGAAGACATGAGCCCAGTATATATAGGTTTTCCCTCCTTCATACCCTTATGATTTAAGTATAAATGTATACATTTTGTTTTGTAGATAAAGTTGAGCCCAGGAATTGCACAAACAACTGAACTTGCCATGTGCTTGTGACTGGTTTCTTTCCAAGGGGAATATGCCCATTCCCATAGGAGAGCAGACAGCCGATCTGATAAGTCCAATGCAGTGATCCTTGCAAGTACCCAGTTCTCATATACTGCAAATAAAATACTGGTAATGAATGGATTCAAAGCACTAGTGTGTAAGTGGCCGCTCTAGTCATAATCTTTTGCAGGCTGAAGCCCTATCAGAAAAGAAAAAATTCACAAATTCAGTCTTTTCGTTTATGCGATCCTATTGCTCTCTTTTCGTTAGCACCGAGGAATACACCAGCTAGTTGCTCTCATCTACATCCCTGCAACTGGCCAGTATTTCTGGAGGTTTCTCTGTATTTCTAATAATGGTGAGACAGACTTTGGTCTCCTGATGCTTTCCTCTGAATACGCACACAAGATAAATGTTTCCTGCAAATCACATTACACTTAATTCTGTTCTTCTTTGTAAATGGTATTAAAACTGCTTCAGCTGTATCGTCTGTACATCTGTCAAGCAATGTACAGCATATTCTTTGCACATAAAGTTATAAAAGTACTTTTCTTTGACATCTTTCTTCAATTTTATTCTCTTTTTATTCTCATTTACCCCATTTAGACATAAATAATAGGCTATAAAGCAATTCTTACTCTATACCATAGTATTTGTTTGCATAACATCACCAAAATGTTTCCAGTAGGTGACTTATTTTTGTAGTATTTCAAATGGGCCATACACAGCCTTTTTTAGCATCTAGATTTTTCTCAGCTTGATATTTTTCTTGTTTATACTGGCACTACCCAGTCAATGGTGGCATTGCATTTATACAGCTACTTGTGCAAAGAATTTATCTCATTAAGTTAATTGCATATTTGGGTAGCATCTTCTGTTTTATCTGGCAATGCCATGTTTCAGTGTGGTATAAAATTATCACCCCAAAACTTCTCCACAATATTGTAACCCAAGTGTCTTCCAAAGCGTGACATAATGCCCGTAATTGCAAGAATAGGGAAAATTGCGTGCAAAATCCAACAACAGAATAGCCTGAAAACCCAAAAGAGTGCTTTGCTCCCAAGGCTGAGTCCCTGTGTTGTAGTTCAGCTGTTATCGCTGACTGTGATTTAAGTTGGTGCTCTTTTCCCAGGTGCAATCCTTTACCTGCCTCACAAGGATATTGTGATGGTATAATTAGGTTGTATATACGAAAGTTGAAGATAAATTTACTTTGCAGAGTTACTCGAGTTATATGTTTTTATATGGGGGACTTTAATAATTGAAATCTTGTTCACATTAGTGAGAAAAGCCTTTATTTAAAAATATGTCTGTATAGTGAGTAAGGCTGCTGCATCGAGGACAAACAGCTTTTCTGGTAGTAAGAAGCAGAAGGCAACAGGTTTGAATGTGCCGTACTTCTAGTGCTCAACCTGACATGACGGTCTGGTACTTTTGAGTTGTCCATGGTTTATTTCGTGTTTTTTGTTTGTTTAGTTTTGGGTTTTATTCTTTTGCTGTATTTATAAAGTAAGTAGAAGTTTTTGTTGTTGTCGGTTTTTTGTTTTTTTTTTTTTTTCCTTTTCCAGCTGAAGGTTTACTACAATAAAAGAGAATTAGATTGGTAAATCATGTGTTTCTAAGGTGCATGGGCTGGAAGTAGGACTCTTATGCATTTATTTTATTATTCATTTGGTTTTGTTTGCCGCTCCAGGTTTTGAAGATCAGGCTGTCAGTCATACAAATAGTGGGTTTAATCACAGGCTCTTTAATGCAAGGATTAAGATCAGGTTTCTGACTGGTTTCAGGGAAGAACAATATTTTGTAATGGACGATCCACCAAAAAAAAGATACTGCAATGCTCTGGATTTGGCAGTGCTGCATTTCATGGCCAGGTTGCACATGGCATCTCCAGACTCAGCTAGGAGTGATTCCAAGGCAGTTGCAAACTTCTGCCACTGGTCCTGGTGTATCTGCAGAGATGGATCCCATTTATCCACTGCAAAAGTCACCCACAAAAAATCAAACAGTTCCTTTCCAGTTGGGCCAGTACCCTGGACAAACTTGCGCTCCGGGTTTTGCTGGTCCTGCCTCAAACCCGGTGGTTGCCCAAGAGACCAGGGCCAGGCAGGATGGGTCATCTCAGGACCTGCTACAAGGGCAGGAGTTTGGGCTGGTGCCTAGGGAGGCCTCAGGAGGCCTGAGCCTGTCGGGAAAAAATAATTATGAAGAAACCGAGCCAGAACTTGGTTGAATGCTCCTGCTTTTCATGCTTGTTTTTCTTCAGAGGTGGCCATGGGGTAGCTTGTCATTTTTTGAAGACACCAAGATCAGTTAATTCTCCTACAGTGTTTTCTTAGAAATCTTCAGAAAGTGACTAGTTCTGATCTATTTTTAATTTTTTGGAAACTATTTTCCTGTGGCTTTCAGTTCTCCTTTTCTCCAAACTAAACCACTTCCAGTGATGCCCCCAGGGTTCTGCCCCAGCATCTGCATCCCATTCTCCAGGTGCATTTGGAAGCTCTAAGCAGTTAGATTCATGGGCAGCCAGAGGAGTCCTCTGGTGCACAGAAAGGTAACCCCAGAGAACAGCTAGTATTTTTATGTTAAAATATGTTTTCTGAAGGCTCTGGGAGGGCACGCCAGAGCTAGCTGCACGAAGGCAACTATTCCAAGGAGAGCATGTCTTCGTGGGTGTGCGTGCGGGTGTTAAACATTACAGCAGTGTTTAGTGAAGAACCGTTGCTTTCTTCCTCCCCATTCCTTTGAAATGACAAACTCCACAGCTGCAAAAGAGCTATGGCCCTTTCCTGAGCAATCCCCAGATTGCTTTTGTTTTCTGTACTTAATTCTACAAATGAGATGCTGAGTCTCTAAGCTGTGGTTCTAGCACAATCACATTACGTTCTTCTAACTCCTTAAGTTGCCACGTGGGTATGCACACTCCCAAGCCATTTGTGATTTCTGGCTTATCTGATTTCCTTACCTCCCTGTTGCGAAAGCAAATTCACTGAAAACCTGCTAAAAAAACATAAATTCCCTACACTGATTCCAGCTGTGTGGCAGCTGCTGGGAAAGCAACAAAAAGGAGCGGGAACCCAAAAATTGCTAAGAACAAAAAGAGAGGAATCAAGAAAAAAAAAAAAGAATATCATTGGTCTGTGGACGAAGGAGTCTTGTTGGCAGAGGAAGGAACTCTTGCTGACTCAACCTCTAAGCAAAAAGGGCACTGGAGGGTTTCCCTGTGGAGCATTCGCTGCTGCCTGGAAGGGACGTGGTGTCTTCACGGCAGCGCTGGACAGGGTTGGGAATTGTGAGTGCTCCGGCGCAGCACAACTCCCCACCGGCCAGACTGGAGCACATGGGAAGACCTTAGCAAAGGTAAACACATGAACAACTATTTAACCTGGTCGTAATTTTTCTTTTAAAGCTATTTTGTTGGAAAGCGTCATTTTGTTGTTGTCTTAGTAAAATTGTGTGGATTTTTTTTTTCTTTTTACAGCTAAGTATTTTTCTTAAAAACGACTTTCACACCAATTCACACTTCGCTTAGGTTGTGGTATCTCTTCCCGTTACTGCATGCTGTGTACACCAGGTGCAGCCCCGCAGAGAGGTGCTCTGCTCTTGCCACACACGCTGCATTAGTGTCCCCTGGCTGAAGGCCACCTGGTTGTAGATGTCGCTTCGTACAGCTCATCCTGTGGACACACGTTGCAGCTGAACTCGTTCCAGGACCGCAGGAGGACTGGAACCCAGAGCTGCAGGAGACAAGCTTGTCATGGAGAATATGGAGAACACACTGCCAGGTAGGAAGGTTCCCCTTTCTGCTTTGCAAGTGGAAAAAAAAATCATAGCTGTTGTGTTTTCATGGGGGGAAGTTGCATTGGTTTTAGTGCCATATGAGGTTAAAAGCACAAAAGCTGCACTTTCTGGCTCTTTTCTCCAACAAACATGGAGCCTTGCCGCCAAATGTTTAAGGCAAAAGGTACTAAATGAGAAAAAAAAACTGTTCCGCTTTTCTGGACGCATGGGGTTCCCAACGCAGATGTTCTGCTATGGGTGCTGGTTCTGGTCCTACCCGCTGGTCCCCTCGCCCCCCTCCCTGTTCACCTCTCTGTATAAATTTAAAATGTTGGACACTGATACAGTGGTTCAAAATGCCACTAAAAGGAAAACTTGCAGCAACTCAGCAGTGTGCTCCTGGAGAGCGAGAGGTGTTGATGCATCTATTGAGTCCTCAGACAGGAAATGTTCCCAGTGTCACCAATACTTTTACATGTGATGCTCTGGTTAACCATGTCTCAAGCATTACTGCTTCAAAATATTCACTTTGTGTCTTCCAAAACCCACTGCTTCAAACGTCAGGTCGTGCAGAG